GTATTTATCTTTGGGGTACATTATGAATAACTGCAGCCGATTTGGCTTGTGCAGTTACGGAAGGCTTAATTGTTTACAAAACTAAAAGTATCTTATAACTATACACATTCCCACTTGGGGTTGTTAGTTTTTAGGCTTTTTTTTATTAAATATTTAATTGGGAGATCTTGAAATTGCTTCAATTTTCTTTTAATTTTTTTTTTCTCACTCGCATTCATTCAATAATAATTATATTTACAACGCCTCCGTTCATTCATTTATACAAACACAAACACTTCACAACACTATATACAATTTAAAGCACGCCACGCGGAGCGACTTCAATCAAGCGTCCGTGGCGCCGCGACGTCTTCGGTCCCCAGCGCTGCTGGCCCCAGCGGAGCGCGAATCCGCGCCGCCCTCGCGGTTTCCGTCAATCCGGAGCGGCGATCCCCTGTCACGCACTTGCTGCTCCCCCGCGACGCAGAGCTCAGAGAGCTTGTGCGGGGGCAGTGCGCGGAAGGTGAAGGCGACGTGCTGTGGGCCCTTTCTTCTGTGGAAGGCCCTGTGCACGCCGCTGTTCGCCACCTTGCCGGTCTCTCGCCAGGATGCGCGGACTGACGCCTCAGCGCCCTTGCGAGCGCCGTCTCCGCCCTCTTTTGTAGCTCCGCCGGGAACTGGTTGCGAACGCCTAAGATTCTGAAGACGTCAGCATTTTTGGGTTGTCGGTCGGGTCTAGTAAAAGGCAAAGTGCGGGCGCGCTCTGTTCTCTTGCTACCGGCATCGGTGCAGAGTGGAGGAGAGCTGCCGCGAATACCTCACAAGCGTACGCCCACAAAGGGACGCACGCAAGCTGATAAATAAGCGGGCGCTTTAGAGGAATTGCTAAATCGGGGCGAACGGAGAAGAGGTTTCAAAAGGAGGGTGCGTGTTTTAATTTTGGCAGCGAGATACGAGCGTGCGCATGCCAGCGAAGGCCGCTGTCAAGTAGCACGCCCAAATATCTCGCTTCGCTCCGCCCAAGGTAGATGCGTGCCAGCCAAGCTCACCGTTCATTGGGGGTTAGCCCTCTACGAGTGACAGTTGACGGCGACGCATTTCTCGAGGTTGAGAGCGAGGCGTTTCCGACCAGCCATCAGGAAAGCGGCGAGACAATCACTTAAGTATTTAACTGACTGCCTTCCGTTTCGCCGATTTCACGTAGTACGCGAAATCATCCGCGAACATCAGGGCCCGCAGCGTTGAATACCAGTTCTTGTTTCAGCAGGAAGCGGCGCGTCATTCACGTATAATCCGAAGAGGGTAGAGAAAGAACACTCCCCTGCAGGCACGCCTGCCTCGGCTCGTTGAGGGACGAGGTGTACGTTATTGACGCGCACTTTGGAACTGCCTGTCAAGAGAGAAAACTCGCGATCAGTCTGACGTAGCAATCGCTCACTTCCCGCCACCGCAAGGCCGCCGAGCAAACCCGCATGCCACACAGAGTCGAAAGCCGACCGCATATCCAGAAAGACCACTGGCAGGTTCTGCCGTCTCTCGAGGGCGAGGCCCGATCTCCGTGCAAAGCTGCGTTAAGCTGCTGCGCGAGCTGTGACCAGCTCGAAAGCCAAATTGTTCATCTCTGAGAAGATTGAGACGACGTATTTCCTGTTGCAAACGTGACAGGATCAGTCTCTCAAACGTTTCCCTAGGATGGAGAGTAGACTAATAGTCTATAGCTGCTCGGAATAGTTTTATTTTTGCCAGGTTTGGTATTAGTGCAATGTCGCAATCCTCCACGCCTGGGAAAATAGCCACACGCCAGGCACGCATTCAGGAGCTCGAGTAAAAAACTCGACTCCGCGCCCGGCCAGAGCGCGCAGCTGTTCTGCGGTGAGACCGTCCGGGCCACCTGTCTTCCTCAGCATTGAGGTGTTCTAGCTCAGCTCGAAGCTCCTCTCCCGTACTCGGCGTGCAGACGGTGCGGAGAGGGCAACCAGGCCAATGGTATTGCTGCTGACCGCACGCGCCACTGGCGCACAACCAACAGCGGTGGCAGCCAATGGCAGCGAGGCGGCCGCCCGTTTCGAACGCGCGGAACTGCAACGCAAGCGAATTCGCTAAGATTTTCGCTTTTTGTCGCGTCGTCCCACGCGTAAACGGGCCGAGGTGGTGGAGCGCCGGCGCCCCCCGTCCCGCGTTGCTCTGAATCGGGCCAGTTTACTCCCGGTTTGCGGCCTAGCGCACGAGAGAGATCCCAAATGTGCCTCTCGTGGAGATTGCATTTCGAAATAGTACCAGACCATTGAGCAGCTCTCTCATCCCGTAGAGATGAACGGAATTCTGCTGCTTAGATTGCCGCGCCCGCTCTCTGTCAACGGATCGCCATAGCGGCGATGAAACTTTGACAGTTCTGCGCAATTCTCTTAAGATCCTTCTTTGCTCATCTGTGAGCCTCAGGGCGAGAATTCTCTACACGCGTGACAATTGTATTTTGCTTGAAAGCCGATTTCAATGTTACAATAAGTGATTCACTGCTTCGTCGATTCTCGTCTTTCGTATTTACTGGTTTCTGCTCAAGCTGAGAATTCACTTGTGTTGCGAAACCTGCCCAGTTCGTGTCACGGGTAGTTCGAAAATAACTTGGCGGTTTCGCTGCAAGGACGCCACAACGCATGTTACTGGGTTATGATCGGAATCCAGTACGGCAATTGCGGCGGAACCACCACAGCTCAAAACGCCTTTCACAATCATAAAATCAATAACGCCCGGGTTCCTGTTTCGTACTTCCGGGAAATGCGTGGGGCAATTCGGTGCGCAGATCTCTACGCCCCGCCTTGTCGCTACAAGATTGGCAATTTTGTTGCCGTTTGGCGACGCGCTCCGCGCGACCGCGGCTTTTATAGTCGGCGGGAGGGGGGCACCGCAGTGGGCATTTCGTGCGCTAGCTTGCGATTGGATGATGGTTCGCGGGCTGGCTCCTGGTTGGCTGTCGATTGCGTTGTGGTTAGATTGGGTTATTCTGTTCTTGTAAGGTTTTTTAATAGTGTTGCGCAGAACGGGATACCAGGTAGAGTTGATTTTCAGACCTTCTTCCTTCTTGTTGAAATTATTGGGATGCTTCAATAATCTCAATAGCTTCCCGTTGCAATCTGGTGTGATAGTGGTTGGTGGTGGGTAGTACTTCAATGTCAAAGAACAGTATGTCATGTTCTCTTCCCGAGAGGGGAGTTTCAGCCACCGCTGATTTTTCTGTGTATCCCAAGAGTCAATTTCGTTTGTGTTCGGTGAGGCGAGTGTTGATTGAACGCTGTGTTGTACCTATGTACACAGCAGCCACAGGAACAATGTATCCTGTAGACACCAGCCGTCATAAGCGTGTCCCTGCGGCTTTTAAACGACCAAAGAGTATGCGAAGCTGAGTGGTGGGGGGTGAAAATGGTCTTGATGTTGTGGTGCTTCAAAATCTTGCCAATACGGTCAGTAATGTTCTTTGATAAACGGCAGTGTGACCTTGTGAATGTTTCCTTTTGAGGACTGCGTGCTGTGTTTTGAATTCAATATCCATTAGCTTGAAGAGCATTTTCCAGATGACCGAGTTCTTGGTGAATGTGTTATCTTCACATATCCGTCTGGCGCGGTGGACGAGTGTCTCCATCATGGCTCTCTTCTGGATGAGGTGGTAGGTTCGATAGTTGTTAAGATAACGGTCCGTGTGGGTAAGTTTTCGGAAAAAACTGTGTGGCCGAGGGATCCGTCTTCCTTGTTGTTTACAAGTACGTCCAGAAATGGTATTTTTCCATTACGTTCCGTCAGTACAGTGACTCTTCATCTTTTTCACTATGAATAAATGGGTGTTTAAATAAGTGAAGAGCCTCAGGAAAGTGTACAAACACCGGTAATAATCGGAAAAGTGTGCGAGACTATCCTGAAAAATCGGTGTAAAAATGTGCATATTATTTCTGAAGTAACAGGAATTGAACTCATTGGTGCCATTTTGCACGAATAAATAGCTAATGAGAAAGCTGTGCGTAAGATGGATGCTGCGCCTATTCGTGACAGATCGAAACAGCTCGCATGCAACTTTTCGACAACGCTTGGAGCGGGTTACGAAGAAAAGGGACTAAGTAGTACATGGGTATGTGACAATGAATGAAATTGTTCCCCATTTTTCACATCGGAATCTAAGCAAACGTTCCAAATATTGGCCAGAGTTTTAACCTGTCCAAACAGTGGACAAGCAATCATGAGTTCAAAGAAGGCGAAGACAGCGTCGGGGTCTTGGGACACAAAAGGCATTTTCTTAATTCACTATCTTTGAAAAGGTTAAACTGAAACTGGAAAATAACATTTTAACGAGTGTGGACAAACAAATTCATGCAACGCGACCCGGCTTTTAGAAAAAAAAAAGTAATTTTTTATCTGAACAAATCCCCTCTGTAAAAAGTGCTTTTACAATGGGAAAATTGACGGCATTAGGAAGCACATCCACCATATTATTTTGTTTTGACTCCTTTGGAGTTTCACCTCTTCTAAGATCTTTTTCTCACTAGCTTGCGTATGCACTGGTTTGCGTGTTGCGTGATACCGAAAAAGTATATTTCTTAAAAAGACGTTTGTCTAACTGATCGTCTGCCCGCTCGTCCGACCGATCGACCTTCCGACCGACCTTCCGTCCAACCACCCGGGTCCGTCCGTTAGTCTCTGTCGTCAGTGAACAAACAATAGTACATCAGCTTCTGATCGTACACAGGATTTCCACGAAATGGGTATTCCCCAATGGGTGTGACCGAACTCGAGACCCTGCAAATTTTAAAACGATCTTTTAGTTTTTTTTAAATGTAATTTACGTGAAACCCCTAGTTCATTATCCGAATTTTCTAAAAAATGGTTCAATTTTTTCTTTAATGATATCCTCATATATATTAGCAACGTGCACTTATACTATTTGCATGTACTGCAGATATAAGAAGGTAAAACTAGTAAATAAAAAATTTCAGGTTAAAAAAATTAGTAAGATTTCCAGAAGAAAAACAAATCGGTTTGTCCAATAAATAATTGAAGGGCTCAGTAGAACAAGGGGCTATCCCACGTAGACATAGTTCTGGATAATCAGGGTTTTACCTGAACTTCTCTCATATAATACAATACAATAGTTCTACTGAGCCCTTCAATTGACCTCTAGGTTTTTATTATTTCAATTCCACTGCCTCATTCATGATACAGTTTCTTTTTTACATTATTGCACACATTCAATAACTTAAAAAATGCTTACATAATTAAAATGCAGTTCCACAATGTGAAAGAGGAAGACTGCAAATTCGCAGCTAAAAGAGAAAGAAATTACCTTTTTGAAGAGAGAAGAAGTTCTCTGAAATTACGTTATTACATGTAGTAAAATAATGTTGTTCATATCGGTATTCAAATGTTAATATCGAGTCTTAGGTCGTTTGTTGATCCACGCTTTAATTTCAGGGTTACTATTCACTTTCTCGACGAGAGACTTGAGGTTGGGATATCCTTCCAGAAGATCGCTCTCCATGCATCCAGACAGGAATTCCTCCAGAGCCGCGAAGATAACGTCTGCGTAGCTCAACTGCAATATCCAAAGATGAAGGGGTTTAATTTCGTCATATACAAGTGAAACTCACTAAGCTCAGAAACAGTCTTTTGAACCTCATCAAATTGACGTTTATTCTATTAAATGCATCTACTCAATATATTTTGCACAGTTGTATTTTAATAAACACAAACTCCAACTATTCAACAATTTAACTACACAAAATAATAAAAATGTGACTTAAGTATATAAATAAATCAAAATCATTGAAAATGAACTTGGTGACTTTCACTTGTACCACGGTTATTAATTTTATTGTTCGAAGCAATGATGAAGATTTAAGAATTAATGACCAGTCCAATGATGGAGGCGTAAAACTGTACACTTTTAAAAGTCATCTGGAGGCATTCCTCTCCATGATTTTGAGTCATAAGTGAGGAAGTTTGATAAAACTCAATTTTTATCTCGGCTTTTTTGACTCTTTGGTCAGTTTGACTACACAATTATGTAAACGCAAATGTTGCAAGGTAATTTGAACTGCTAAAAACACTCATCGACCTTCAGAATGACAACTTTGCGGAGCGGAACAATGCCCGAGGCTGCCCTTGGCTGTGGGCGAAAAGACATCATTTTGGGCAAGCCTTACTGGACTATACACTTTTGACAGATTTATCTACTAGGTTAATAAGAAGTATCTTTTGCATCATGTTCATAGAGCGTAAAACGTTACTAAAAGTTTCAACTTCGAAAGTCTACGTGTCATCATTTACCACGGGTATTGGGGAAGTAAAAAGAATCGACAAAGTAACGAAAATATTTGGTACATTAACATACTGGAACAACTATTACAAAGAAATGATTTATGTAGTTGTTTACGAAATGAGATGGCGTATTACGAATGCCATACACTTTGTCCAATTTGTACAAATTCCAATGAGCTATAATTTTTGTTCAAATTTGATTGTTAATGAAACCAAATGTGATCGAGTGGTGTTGATTGATTGATTACTAGTGATTCCGGGCGCGTCAGCTGCTAAGGTCATTATTCCCATACGTGTAGTATATGTTTTTGCTCTGGAGGTGGCAGTGATATTGCCCCTCTGGATGAGGAGATCCGGCGCCGACCTACCTTCGGCTCGGGGGGGTTTCCTCAACCAGGTATCTCTCATCAGCGGACCATCGCACCGGGACTAGCTCTAAGCTCCCGATCGGTCTCTCGACATATGTGGAAGTGTTGTGCAAGTGTATGTAAGGCATAGGATAGGATAAGGAATGTGAAGGAAAGATCGCGCGCGAATGGTGACCCGATTGTTAGGGTATTGCTTCGGCATTCGCCTGGTGTTGATCGGAGAAACCACAAAAAACGACCGAAAAGAGCAGCCGGCCGCTAGAATTCTCCTCCAGTCAGCTACAGAACTCGACGCAGCTATCCGGCTAGTGTCGAAAATCCTGCCACCAACACGAATCGAACCCCAGAACCTCCCCGTCAGCGGAACTACAGTGATATCAGTTGATGTGCTGAGACGGCTCTCCAGGTGACTGATATTGATAGTGTGAATAGAAGGTCATGTATTAATTGTAATATATTCGTATCACGAATATGATTGTTTCTTAAAGAGGCTTGTGGATTATTAGAATATTTGCCTTAATAATTCTTATTTCATTACTGGTCTCAGTTTCGTTAAGTTTGACTTAAGATAACCGAAATATTAAAATATTTTACACTGATAAGAGTCCAGACTGCTTCCTTAAGGCGTTAGGGTTAGACTTTGGCATGGGCTTAGCGTACGCCTCAAGCGGCCTCGGGAGAAGCGATTTCCTTGGCTGCTCGCTGGGGACGGGTTCTACTCCAAAATAATATTCAAAAGGTCTGAATAACAGCATTAATGACATTATGAAAATAATGGCTAATGGCGAAGACATTAAATAAATTATATTATCAGAAACAGGAACGTCATCGATTTTATCAAATAACACTAACGATATATTACAAGCTGTTGACGAAGCGTTAGAGAAAAGTTTTGTTTCCTAACTCAAACGATCACTAAACTTCCGATAACGTTAATATTTTCAGCCCCCTTAGAAGCATAGTTATCACGTGATAATGCAGTGTTTTGGTTGGTATCCGAACATATGAAAAAATGGAGAAATCTCTTCCACGTGGAAATGTTTCAAGGAAACTTCGACGCTTAGTTATAGATCCAAATCTTGCAGCAAAATCTAGCATCTTTGATTTGAAATTTTTTTTTTGATCCTTGACAACTGGTATTGAATTAATCTAAACTAAGTTTCTACAGGGATATTCAACTGAGAACAGTTACACCATTTCTTAACAACACTGCAATAATATTTCTTAATCGTTCTCGCCATGGTTCGGCGAACGTGTTCGCGATATCACTGCTTTTAAATGTTCTATGTTGGTTCATATAAACTAATTTAACGTACTTTTTTGTATTAAACATTTATTAAACGTACATATTTGTTTATTTTCGTGATGTACTCCTTTCTAAGAAATGTATCAACACTAACCTTTTAATGACCCGTTTACGAATCTCTTGTGAGGAGTGTGTTTGTGAAATCGACCCCGAGCTTTGAATCTCGCGTACTTACCTTTCCATGAGCGAAGTATCCATCATTGTCTTTGACCAACTTATCCAATCGAGTGAGATAAAAAGGAATGGTCTCTCCCAAAAGAATCTCTCGTTTCTTAGGCTTCTCTGGCTCATCAGTGTAAAACGAATAATTCACAATTGCTGTAAACACAAATCAATAACAGTGACTCCAAGTATTTGGATCATGTCATTCTTTGTATACCTTTAGCACTAAAGTAGCAAATAGATGAATCCAAAAGTTTGTTTCACTCACGTTAAACACCATAGAGAATATTATGACAAGGAATGTTTCTTTATACATTGGTGGGAGAAGCCCCGTTCAATTCGTACATTCCATTGGACTTTAACATCGAAGAAATATCGCTCCTTTGCGCGATATATTTTAAATCAAAAATCTCTTCTAAAACATACGGCGTATCGAGAGATCTGGGCTGGAAAAAGGGTGTATCTGATGTCTGATGAATATCTGAAGAACTATCAATTTCGTGCTGTGCCCCAAATGAGGTCGCACACCACTTTGCAGTAGGCATGAAATTATTTCTGTTAGTACATTCTGTACCATTCGGACATCGTAGAAGTCGAGTCACTACGCGCATCTCCAATATGCAACTTGCTTCTCACGTAACTTGAAAACAACTGATTACATTTGATCACAACTGATCTATTCCTGTTACATCAAAATCAATATTATGAAACCTTCGATCAGAAGGAAATTTAGTGTTATCGACCCCATTTAACAAAATTTCTGTCTTGGGGTAGAAAATTATGAGTAAGTGTAATATAATTTACGAATCACATTTTTAAAGAAAATTTCACAATTTACAGAAAATTCAAAATATAAAAATATTCCTTACTTTGTACTTCAAGTTACGCAATAGTCCAAAATAAAACGTACGTAAATATTTAGCTCTGTGATGAAGACGTTACATGTCCATCCATTTAATAAATATGATTTCCAACATTCAACGTCAAATAGCACTGGTAGTGTTGTAGTATAATAAAGTTGTCGTAAGAACATGGAAAAATTGACATCAAATTCAATTTTACACCAATCTATTTTTCATGGCTCTAAATAACCTAATAAATAATAATACTAATAATAATAATAATAATAATAATAATAATAATAATAATAATAATAATAATAATAATAATAATAATATATTGATTATCTTGCCTCGGGGAATGCGGATATTTCAGTGTGAAAATCGAGGGACATGCCAGTTGATAATACGACACATTAAAGATTCCTTGGACGTCACAAGGACGCTCTCGACAAAATTAAAGCAAACTCTCTACACTAAATGAAAATTTGAATTGGCGCGCGGGTAGGTATGTATAAGGTAGCAGAGACTGCAATGTCATACGTCTCGCCAATATCTGACCTTCATACGTCAAAATCGGATGTAACGCCGAGAAGTCATTGGCAAATCACTCCGGATAGAAATGCTCAGGCACATCTTAAGAAAGCTAACATTGGTTTCAATTGAGACACAGCGACAAGGCAAACGCGTTTAGAAAGATTATATTAGATTATAAATTACAGTGAAGATAATTTGAACACACCTGTTCTGAGGTCCGCAATGGTGTCTGCCACAGCATCAATTTCGAGTGCGGCCCAGTCGTCTTGTCCGCCCGCCAGACCGAGCTTCTTCCCGAGGTAGCGGCAAATGGCTGTAGACTGGTGGATGACTTTTCCGTCTTCCTCGAAAACTGGCACCTTCCCGAAAGGCATATCTGAAGAATACACATGTAGACATTTGTATGGTTTAATCGACGTAGAAAAGTAATGCTAAAATATTTTCACTGAGAAAAATATTTATAACAGCTGCTTCAGCATAGTAGTTTAAGTATTCGAAGGAGCTCTTTTGCTTAAAAACAATGCTGTTATGAATTAGGAAAATGTTCAAATGCGCAAAATAGTAGCGGTAAAAAACTCATTTAGTTGGATAGCTTTTTATATCTGTTTGAAAGTAGTGCAAACTTAACTTTTTTACGAATTATAATAGTTCAACTTCTCATTATTTTATGTTTACTATCTCAACACAAAACACCCCGACTAAACAATAAGCCAATAATGAAACAGTTATGAAATAACTTGTCCCAATACAACAACATTTGAAATTACTTCTGCTGTTTACCGGCAAAGGTGGCTTAGGGCATCAACTGATGACCCTTCAGTGCCTCTGACCTGAGATCCTAGGGTTCAAGTCCCAACGGTGGCAGAATTTTTCGACACTAGCTTCAAAGCGAGATCGGATTGAGCCGCTGTCTGGAAGAGAACTCTGGCGGCCGCCTGCTCTGGTCGGTAGCCTCTGGTCAGAGGCACAGCACTGACATCAACTGATGCCCTGAGCCACCAAATTGGTCGTGTTTTCGAAAAATTGTACGTGACCTTATCTCGAGATATGACTTTTAATAACAGATTTTATTATGGAAAAATCTGTCTTCATTTTTGTAATTGTAGGAAGACGCCGAAAAAATGAACTTTTGTAATTTTCGAATAATCGGCGATTTTAATAAAAATGAGACTTCTCTAAAGCGACCTTTACTCTATACGAGATAATGTTTAATTTAAAAGTTGGAACCGTTCTGAGAAAATGCTTAAAATGTTGAGGATTGATTTAAAACAAACCCCAAAATTAAAGTATCGGTTCTAAATTCCAGGGGCCGCGACCTCAGCCACATCAATGGAAGAATATCAGTTTTGGAGAAAATCCGCTGAACGGTTTAGGCGGTAGCGTCGACCACTGATGGATAGACACGTTTTGCCGCCAATCTATTCAATCGTTGGGCATCAAGGACTCATAAATCATGGATTCTGACTAAACGACGTTTTAGAAGAAACAATTTACTACATGTAGGAACAAGATTTATTCACCTTTGCTTTACTTGGGTCCGAGAATTAGTTTTTGTGTCGAAAATCTGCCTTTTTCTGGTGCACGATACTTTTCTTATGAAGTTAGGACGAGAAAGTAAAATTAAACATAATTGAAATAGTATTAAGGAAAATAATTAATTTCGAAACTGAAAGGAATTGAGCTACGTGGGTGAGAGGGTTTAACAAATTCATAACTGATTTTCAATTATGACAAGTTATCAAAATTCTCCCACTACCCTCTTTGATTATACACTGTTAGATATAGTGTCTCGAATCTACTCTCTGCATGGAGATATTTAAAGAAATGTAGTAATCTCCCAGGAAGTAATCATTCAGCAATTCAGTAAATTTAAATTTATTTGTAGCAATCGTATTTTTGTCCATTAAAAAATTTGCCAATAAACACAATCAGTTCACACGAATATAGCTGAATGTGAGTTTGAGTTTCATGTAGTCGTTTTGGATTTTATACAGGTAAACGTCCAATACTAAACGTGGAGTACCTTTCCTGTAACTTCCGTAGGCGATAGAATATTTGAAGTCGCGTCACGTCAAGGCCTTTCAACGTAGCCGAGAGTCTCTCTCCCCACTGCAGGCTCTGGCGGTGAAAGGTATAGCACAAGGGGAAAAGCTATCAGCGGAGTGTATGGCGCTAGATAATTATAAGTATACATGAGTATATGTATGTACCGCGGTCATCGATATGTATTGTATCTACGAATATGTATGAAAATTTCGATTCTGATGAATCAATGGAAAAACCTCATTCTGATCCGTAATATTGATGTTTGTTCTAATGTTCTTCGTGTCAACACCATGATACGAATTTGCATTTCGGTGTCGTGAACTCTTTAGAAATGATGGAGGTAGCACACAGTTGTTAGAACACCCGGTACTATATCTAGCACCATAGACCATATGCACACTACTGAAAATAAAACATACACTACATAACACTAGATTTGGTCTACTTACTTGATTTCACACTCGGCCATTGTTCATACTTGATGCGAACCTCCTCGTACTCGATGCTACCATACGCCAGTAGATAACGAATAGGCTCGCCAAGTGCTCTCGCGTCGAAATATGTTAGTTTGCATTGAGGAGCCATAACTACTTAAGGATACGTTGTTGGCGAGTGGTAGTAAAGAGATACTGTGACGCTGTTGCTGTCACGGGTCTGGAATGAGATAATCAAAACTCATACAAACGGCGTTTATTTCTTCCGTCAACTAAACGAATAGGACTTTCCTGCTACGGCTCACGGCTGTAAAGTTATTTTCCCTGTTTAAAACCTGGAAAATATTTATACAGTACAAGCTAATTTTTAAAACAATGAATGCATTTTCCACTTTCTTGATATATTTCATATTACCCCAAAACCAATTGATAAAATAATTTCGCTTCCCCGTTTCAAAGAAGAAACTTGCTACAACTACGTTTCATTTTTGAAGAACTTTTCTAGACGATTTCAGTTTTCGGAATTCAATTCACAACTAAGGACCTAAAATATTAAGATAGGAAACGAAGAGCTCTTATCATTAGCCGGATTGACCTTAAAAAAAGCGATGACTCATGAAGAATGACAGTCATCCATTCTAGTACAGTAACTACTCTCAGAAAAATTCGTGTTGAGGGTGTTCCAAAACACCAAATCCGGTTCACTTATTATCCGAAGTAAAAGTGTGAAGCTACTTCTAAAATGTTCACATTGTAATTAATATTGAAATTGCACTTTAAAGAAAGCACGACGTTCTTTATTTTTAACGCTCGAAAAGAAACGTAGTTTGACTGGCATTTACTATTACATTCATTTAGGAAATTTGTAGTGTTTACACGCTACACGACAGATGTTACTCGAAAATGTAATAGGGAACGAAAAGCAGGAAGGTCGTCGAGTTGAGAAACGTACCCTTGAGATGACAAACAAAACCTGCTGCAGATGGCTGGGAGAGCCGCCACCACACATACGCAGACGAAGCAGCGTCTGGGCGCGACCCCTCCGACGCAGCGACGCGGGAACCCGAGGAAGAACCCGTGGAAGGCGGGGGAGGGGCGGCGGCGGCGGCGGCGGCGGCGGCGGCGGCGGCGGCGCACGCGCGGAGACGGGGCCGGCTACATCCGCCGGCGGCAAGCGCCGTCCCCACGATAACCCTTCCTTCTCGCGATGACGCAATGCCTTGGCGCGCCTTCCCCAAAGCCCCTTCCAACTTCCGCTTTCTCTTCAACTCAATGAGTTCCGTTTCGAAGTCAGCTTGTGCGGCTACAATAGCACATACTTTCTAGCCTCGTTTTGTATCTTTTGCGATTTTCGAAAATTGAAAGGGTTCATCGAAAATCGCACAGGCGCCAATTTTAGAAGCGTACATTACTCCATGAGAGAAAAAATGGACAAGTATTGCAAAACTACAATATTGATGATAAAAAATTTTCTTTTATGAAATGTTTTAAAAATTAATTTTTAAATAAGGTCATGTACAATTTTTCAAAAAATGAGAAGCTTTCGTACTTTACTTTCCCGTATACAGACATATATACGCAGTAATATACGTAGTATAGGAAAAATTGTGTAATACTATGGAAAATCGATTTGAAGATTTCAACGGAAATACGTTTTGCGGTCCCCTGATATCGAAAAAGTTTTTTTTCTATTCAAAAGACCGTCTGTCAGTCTGTCCGCCCGTCTGTGAACACCACTAGTGCCTAAACCATACGTACGATTTTTTCCAAATTGAAGAAACCCCTGTCCATCTGGCTTTACTAAAATCTTGGAGATTTTGAAAAAGAATCTGTAAAATTTAGGCGGACTTTACATGAATCCTCCCAGACATTTTCAAAATTTTCTCAAAAACTTTTTTTCTTTAAACTTCTTGTAAGAGTAGAGTTAAATACACTTATAAAGGTGGTTATTAAAAGTCCTAATTTCAGGTTTAACAAAATCAGTTTCGAAAATTTCATAATTTCACAAGATTTTGAGCGTCTTCCTACAACTACAAAATTGAAGATTTTTCATTTATATAAAATTTGTTCTCCATTTGTTCTTCATCTATCATTAAAGTCATGTACACTTTTTGAAAAGTTTGGTAGTTTTTTTTAGCAATATTGTGTGCAAATTTGCAATTTTAAAAAGCTATTAAAACAAAATTTTCTCAAAAACGCCTTCATTTTTTTAAAAACTTTTTTAAGTGATTGTACTAAATTCCCTCTATAACATTACATAAACGTTATATTGCTTTTATTTTTTGTTTTATTACAAAAATGTATGTTTGACTTGTCTCTCACGTCATTAGCATTTACATTAGCAGCAATTTGTTTTCATTAACGTATTTATGAGTACATGTACTTTCAATAATGTCAGATAACTTTCCGGAAACCTCAACAGTTTTCTGTGAAAACTACCTCAAAATTTCAAATTTTCAGAAACGCTCAAACGCAATATTCTCAAAAACGGTTCCATTTTTTTAAACTTTTCGAACGGATAGTGCTAATTGCCCTCTTTAATTTGACGTGAAGTTAATTTCGGGGTATTTTCGTGTTTTTTGTAATTAAACAAATATAATATTTTTGAAAGATCTCGTTAAATGCACATTTCGTTAATATTCACATTTCCAACAAATTGTAAACTCTATTATATTTGTGATTTAAAGGATCACAAATTACTTCAAATGAAGTTTTTCAAAATCTCAATAGTTTTCTGTAAAAAAGAGCTTCTAATTTCGAATTTACATTAGCTGTTAAACGACATCTTCTTAAAATCGTGTCCAATTTTTTTTAAAAAAAAACTGCCGTGACCCATTTACGAATAATTTTGCAGAAGCGTTTTTTTATAAATTACTCCTCAAAATGGCCTGTGAGGTACCCTAAATCGAGCACGAATACATGCTCTCATCAAATAGTGATATTTTTCAAAAGTTGTCACGTTAGCTGGTCCTTTTAGCCGGCCAGCACAATATATTCCTTTTTGTTTCGAGATGTGCAACAATATACTGCGCCCGCTGGCAGGCCGCGCGCCACCCAGGCCTGCGCCCGCTGAAGGAAGCGCACTCATTAATTCATTCTGAAAAGCCACCGTTTTCTTTTTTTAGATCAATTCTTCTGCATTTCAAAATCTCAATTAATGAGATGTATTAACATCTCCACGCGCAAACATCACACATCCGGAAAAGTAAGTAGCACATGGTGCGACACGACGGTCAGTAATGACAATGCTTTACGCTAAAAGATTGACAGTGAATGGCATTTTTTCAATAGTAAATATATTTGAAAGTTCAAAAGACTATAGGACAGTGTGATTTAAACTGTGAGGAGCCCCCACTCCCCAACTCCCCAAGGAGGCGCGACAGTTTCCAAGATACTCGCCTCTAACAACTGAAAAGCCATATGGCTAAAAGAGTTGTATAATAATCTCACTCTTGCAATAAATTTAAAAAAAGTTTCCATGAAACCAACTTTGTCCAATATCAGTTATTTTAAATGAGCTGTGGCAGTTGGCGCAATAGATCGCGGCGCGCACTCTTTTTGCGTGATTCATTCCCGCAACACTGTCCGAATTTGGGTGCTCTGTAAAGAATCAGTATCCAGAGTTATGTAATGTCTTGCGTGTTCTGCTTCCTTTTTCCATTTCTTACGTATGTGAAAAAGGATCTTCAGCCATGACCAAGAAAAAAATATAGATCAAGAATAAATTTCCAGAAGGAGATGCGTACTGACATTTGTAAATTAGTGCCGAGATTCGATGAACTTTGACGCCAAAAACTCCACCCATCTCATTGACTTTTCTGAACTATTAATATGTTTGGTTTTTTTATATTTTTTCTTACTTTGTCAAACATTAATAAAATTCATTAATTACAAGTGTGAAGAGTGCAAATCACTTGCATTAATTATTTTGTACACTGTAAGTGTATAAAAACTTTGTGCACATGATGGTCTTACTTTCAGGAAAAATATTACATCAGGAAAAATATACATATTTCATCGAGAACTTTATTTGAAAATCAAAAACACTAAACAATACTTCAGTGTCTTTATTTGAACTTTGAATATATAATATGATAATATATAATATACAGCTTGCCGACGATTATGCATGCTACTTTCTTTTTTTATCGATGTTATCATTTTCATTATGTCTTATGTATTGTATTTACTGAAATCACACAATTTTACTATTTGTCTTCTTTTTTACACGTATAATTTTCTTCATTGAATAAATAACTCTCTTTATTATTTGTCTCTACTGACAACATTTTTTACATGATTCTAAAACAACATGCTGCTCAAACAATAGTCCATACTACAAAACAATTAAAAACAGTTTTTTCTAGAATTCTTACAAAATATCTTAAGAGGGAACCGGGTAAAAATTGTGTCTATCAATGTTTCTAGACCAGAGACCTCAAATGAGCATCTCTGAGGGTCCCGTAAGGCACCCAAATATGAATGGGTGAAAACCAGATCGGTGTAAGTGACATTTTATACATTTTGTAAAATCAGTATATTTAAGTCGTGGAGCTTTGTCCTATCATTAAAATTACTGCATATCAATTGTTCATTAAAACCACGAACATACATCGCCACTAAAATCTAGACTAAAAAAACAATTTTTCTAAGGATTTATAAAACGTCACTTATACCGCTCTAGTTTTCACCCATTCATATGCTGTATATCCTCCAAAATCACTCAAACGGGCGTTCACCTGTAGACCATGACGTAAGTCACTTAAACGGACGGCACCTACAGACGTACAGGTAGATTAACGCAGCTTACTGGATTACTTTATGAGCATGTATTCAAGGATTACTTTATAAGGATTATAGGAATTACTTAATAATGATTACGGGCTTCACATGAAAACATAAAATAAATTTTCCAGACTAACATAAAGCGAAAGAAATTTTAAAAAGTCAAATTAATTATTTATTTACAAATGTTACAATTACAAAGAAGCACTTGGTCGTTTTGCACGCCATTCTTTTATCTTAGGTAAATTCCAAACTTTCTCCGTCAGGGAACCGACATTGCTGTAATTGGCTGCAATATTTGTTTTTAAGGCACCATTTACACTGTCTACAGTGGCAGCAAGATGTAAGTCGGCCCAAGTGAGCTGAAACAAAGATATAAATAATGTTCAGTAGTAACTAGTTATTTTACTGTTTACTAGGCTGTCCGGGTGGCGCCACGTCCATGGCGAAGGTGCCGACGTTTCGGTCGCCATTCTGCGACCTTCCTCAGGGCGTAATGCTGGAGGTCGCAGAATGGCGACCGAAACGTCGGCACCTTCGCCATAGACGCGGCGTCACCCGGACAGCTTAGTAAATACTGACTCCGGCCGCGGAAGCCTACGCTCTTAGTTGTTTTACTTTTTCGCACTAGGACAACTACAACCATATAACAGTTACAATCATTTAGATTTCAATCAAAATATTATGAATAACTACACAGACAGCATGGAGCAGTTAGAAAATATGTTTAGGATCCATCTTCACAAAATTCTTGAAACAGAGCTGATTTCCGAGAATAATGTAAAAACAGAAACATCCTACCTTGACCTAACTCCTTTGCTCCGACCACTTCCACAAAATAACTGCCAAAGCAACCATGATCACCAACACCTTATACCCCATCCTCACAAATCCCTCCATACCCACCAAGAGAAAAATCCAAACCTACAACTCCTATGGCATTTCCATCCTATCATATGCTCATTCCATGTGGTTCACTACATCCCACACCAACAGCACAAAAATAACCCGCGTCACAAAATCACGACATCCGCCTCATTTTCCGACAACCTATGTATATCATCTACAACTCCATACGATCCCAAAATGAAATACCCCACATCCTCACATACCTCCACAACACCGCAATAGCCTCAATCCAAAAAGACATTAACAACTCTCTAATCCGACATCTAATCCTCAGAAACCTACCCCGACACATCCGGAAAAAGCATCCCTTAGACATCCTCCAACTTCCCCCTCCTATCATCTGTGGTGTCTTTGCCGAGGCAATAATTCACAGACGTGAACGGTTTGTAATTTATTGAGTATTTATTTGAAACATGCTCCAACACCAGAAAGCTATTTAAAATAATTACAATAAACAATATTGACCCGTTACCATAAGGAATGTTCCTGCTCACACAACCGCTGGCATTATAATTCGATATCTTGTTCGGTGTGATGCATCAGTTGCCCTACGTGCGCACACGAGTGAGTATGCCGCACCTCCCGACGTAGCACGCCAGCTTCAGTTCCCTGCCTCCGTTGCCTATGCATTGAAATGCAGCGCTGCGCACAACCCACACGACTTCCTACCTCCCGACGCGCCCAAGAATCAGAAGCAGGTGTTTAGGTTCGGGGTCCGCTTATATTACTTTCTGGGCCGGCTGACGGAACTGCGTCATCTCGCTGTTTCCGCCGAGCGTTTCCACAGCCAGCATGTCTACGGGGTTCCCAAGTCTGCCCCAAGTGGTAAAGAGGTTCACAAGTGGCCACCCACGACACGGCACCCCTTCCCTTGAGCTCCCTAGGTTTGCCATTGTTCAGCCCGGCGTCCCTTCCCGCCAGCGCTGCCCGCTGTCGCAAACTACTTCCTCGTGCATTTCATGTCCATAAAATGTACGTGGCTAGTATCATGTTTGTACAAGGCGACTGACATGACGCCACACACCTAATCCAGAGGACAAAGACAAACAATCGACAGATAAGCTGACAACAAACTACATATCCTTATTACCACATAGTTTTGACCACAGACGGACACGTTTTGCCGTCAATCAATTTTTCGGTAGCAGCCGACGAACGACGACCCACTACGTGCGGAAACGTGCACTAATTTGGCGCGAAAGTTCTATAAACATTCTCCGGAGTTCAACGCCGCGCGCTCGGAACCCTTTACACAAATCACGGGAAGAAAAGTTTTCAATTATTCCCCCTGAGGCAGCATCCGCGCATCTCGCGAGCAGACTCAGGCCACCCCAGATATGAAGTGACGGGAGACGAGGGTACGCGCCGCGCGTGAGATGTCACGACCATAAGTGTGAAGAACCGAACAATGGCCAGCTTCACCCGGTTCCGAAGCAGGCGTTACTGCGAGGACCGAAGAAAGAAAACCGTAGATAGCCAATAAAAAGAGACGAATCGTTAAAATATTCTAGAAGCTCGACCACGTGATTCATCAGTATTACTACCTAATTTTTCTTATTAATAATCTTCGAAAACAGTTTCTTTGTGAGAAAAGGGCTTCGTTCGTCTCCTCGCGAGCTCTCTTTAAAGAGTCATAAACAAACATTCCCGGGTATTTGTGCTGACGTAGTCTCCCGCTCCCGCAATGCAAAATTCTAATTGAATCGTAAGGCAAAATTATATGGGAACGAGGCTTTGCGCGGGAGACTGAGTGCTCGAGGTGGGAACCCGCCGCAGAGATCAGCCGCAGAATGGCCAAAGTCGCCGAAAGATACGCTTCAGCAGAACACCGAACGTCGCCGAGAGCTACGCTTCAGAGACGGGTGAACGACATCGAGAGTTGCATACGGGAGATGAGCCGACAACATTAACGGCAGCAAAATAGCGAGCATTCGTGGCGACAGTCAAATTCCACCACCATGGAAAACAGTAGTCGCCACGCTAACGGTTGGGCATTTCGGAGTCTGCTAAAACCCCGTGACTGTGGCGCGAATCCGCCTGCATCCCGCACCTGTAACTACGCTGCACGAGAGAAAGAGAATCTGGCCTGACTTCGCAGTGAGCACCACAACCCCGACGTCATCCGACCGTCAGGGTCGTTGACTTCGGAAATGCCGCTGAGCCAACTGCCCGCCTCTCTCCCGTCAGAAAGGAGCGTTCCAGCGCGATTGCCGGATTTACGGAGACCGTCCTCTCACAAACTGCGTAGAAATTGCAAGTAAAATAAGCATTTTTGTAATGACGAGTCGAGTCATAGGAAATTCACTGAAGGGATTAGAAAATTGAGGAATGGACTAGAGAACTTCAAGAGAGAAGTAGTATCCTAATGCTTAATAATTAGTATTTGTTTGTATGTAAAAATTCAGATCATCAAGAAAAATTGCACTATAAATCCATTGAAATGGTTGTAAGAGCATTTTAAGAATAAACTGTCAGCTCCCTTCAGGAACCAACGTTGAAGATTTTTTTTTGATTTTCATTCAATAGAGCATGTTGATCACACCTGATCCCTAACTAACCTTGAAAATCAGCGTGACAGGTAAATCAGTTGACTCGCCTGCCAAAGTACGCCTGGCGCCCAACACTGCCAGCGACCGTGAGGGGGTGGGGTCGTTACAATAGCAACAGAATTTATCAACTTTTTCACTACCAGGACCCAATAATAGAAGTTTTTGTGCTGAAAATTCGCCGTTTTCCGGCGTACGATTACATAACTTTCTCTTCTTAAGAAGTTCCTTCGTAAAAGCGGGAAAGTAAAAAGTAGTTTATGGGCAAGTGTGTACAGACGGACGGGCAGGAAGATGTGCAAGCATACAGGTGGACGGAGATGTGGGCGGCAGATGAACGAACGTTTAGAGGGGAAAAGTCAGTTTTCAGTATCAGGGAACCCAAACAGCGCATTTCTGTTGAAGTCTCACTATCGATTTTCCATTGTATTACACCTACATCATTTTCCCTTCAGAACGTATATTACTCCCTATATTCATATGTATATGAGAAAGTAAAAACCAAAGTAATTATATTTCGGAAAGTTGGTAGATTGAAACACAAAATGTGAGCTTCTTTTACAACGAATTTGTTAAAAAAAACGTTATCCGAATAAATCCTATGTAGATGTTCTATTTTGATGTTCTACTTAATGTTTGACAGCACTGAGTAAAGCGATAAAAACACATAAATACACCAATTTTGTATTTAATAACGGACATTTAATTGAAATAATGAAGAAAACAATTACGATCATTTCTGCAGCCTTCTGAGATGACCACTTTCAATATCTATTTCTCTTGTAAGGTCTGTCTACTTCTACTTTTATTGTGACATGAGGCGTATATAAAACTATGTAAGACACAGACACTAAGCACTACACACACACACACACACACACACACAAACACTGATATGCTGATGCTACTTGTCATGAAATGTGAGACAAAAATATTAAAGAAATCGTGGAGATAAAAAAATGCCTTGTACTACAAAAACAAAAATCTTCGAGGTGCGGATCAACGAAGACCAATCCTTTATGTAATTTAAAAACGGAAGAATGAAGCAAAAACCGGAATCAGGGGAAATAGCAGTTCAATGTGAGACATTGAGAACGCGACACAATTATGATAAATCAGTTTTCAAATTTTCCCTGGATCATAAATATCGTATTTGCCATAAACACAATTGAACATGCTGTCTCAGTTTGTCCATTTCTAGCAAATTCTGAATATTCTATAAGACATGAGTGTCTCTAGTTATCTATACTGGAAGATCTGAAACGCACTCAAAGTTCCAAAGACATTTTCGAAGGGGTTTGAAATTCACCAAAAGCCATGACTTCTGTTGGACTGAGTACAAAATGCTGATTGACCAACAAATCCTAACTGATCGTACGATAGCAGCAAATAAACGTGAAAATTATAGTTGGGATATGGAGAACAAATCATGTCTACTTGTAGATGTGATTGTGCATTGTGATAACGATAGAGACACAGAAAAGGTCTAAACGCAAAAATTAGGAAATCAAGATGAACCGGATGTGAAGCAAACAGGATGTAGATCTGTAAAAATACACGCCTTTTCGATATTTTCGAAACTTAGGGATTTGTTCCAGTACATCTTTTTAATTACTTGTACAAACTTCTATGTTATTTAAAACATTGGGTTTTGCGAGATATCAGGTTGTTAGGAAACGTTTATATTTAACAGACAGTATTGTAGGGACAATCACAACCACCAGATCTGCTTCTTAGAAATTTGATTTCAACCTGGAGTAGATTTTATATTATACGACACCTAACACCTTTAAACGTAAATGTAGAGATTAACAATAGAAATGGTAACAATTATCATAAAAAATAATGCTATTGCATAATATAATATGTAGACCATATCAAAATATATATTCAGTTAAAATATTTTTCGAATCCGTACTCTAGTTTTTGAAAGCAATGAAGTGTTTGGGATTTTATCTCTTTTTACCCAAAGAATTCCACTATTCAATGATGATTATTTTCTCACCTTTTTGTCAACTAGATAACCTCCATTTTCCTTAATTTGATTATCCAATCGTCCCAAATAAAATGGCAATGTATCCTTTTCAAGTGTTTCTTTTTTCTGAGCTTTAGTTGCTTCATCAGCAAACACAGCATTAAAAACAGCTGTAAAGAACCAAATAAAATAATAATTTTATATCTTGTACAACAGTTCCATTATTGCAAACATTTACTTACCAATGCGAAGATCAACGACTGTGTCAACAGTGGCATCAATTTTCAAGTTCTGCCAGTCATCAGCACCAGAAAGGCCTACTTGTTTTCCAAGATAGCGCGCAATTGCAATTGACTGGTGAGCTTTCTTGCCATCAACCTCCAACACAGGCATTTTTCCAAAAGGAGTACCTAAAATGCATTATGTTTCGGTTCGAATAATAAATAATTATTTACTATAATTGATGAAGTGGTGCCTGGACTTCTTACTGACAAAACCACAATTTTACATTAAAAATAATAAATACATCTAGGATACATTTCATAAAATACTCATACGTCAGTGAATGCATGGTCATAAGTGAGAAGATAATGCTTAATTCGACGCCACTTGTACAATACACCCGACTTGTACAATATTTAATGAGTGTATGTGTGTGTGTGTGTTTATAGTTTATGTGAGTGTTGCAGTGGAAAAAGGATGTATCATCATTGTTTGCGAAATTAAATTAATTTATGCCTTATTTCTAATGAATGCAATGATAGTTCTCCTCTGATAATTAAGATGATCTTAAATAAAATAAAATGTTAACATAATTGCATATATCCGTTCAAGTATGTCTCCATATACATATGCGGATGCCCCAAATAGAAATAACTAATGATCCCTGGGTCAGCACAACTAAATCGTACGCACGGGGTGTTTAACAATCTTCAACTCAAAAACTTCTAATCTGATAGAGTTTGGCGTGACTCATACTTCATTCCGCCCATCCACCCCTCCTCCATTCCTTCCCTACAGGCGTCCCGATTTTCGGGTAAAACATTGCGTGTGATACACACGCAGGCAACGCACTAATATTCACTATCTTTGGAATATTTACAGACCTTAATCTTGACGTGGTTGTGAAGTTCCAGCTCAAAATAACTATAAACACGAATTTTAGGATCGAAAATTCGAGATCGTACTGCCGAGATTCTAGCGCGTTTTCTCTCTTCACTATTATACAGGAAAAGTAAAAAGTTACAAATTTAGATAGTCCTGAAGGTATTTTATATTTACAAGCAACGCTTTTCAAATTGAATTATGTTGCACTGAAGAGCCAAAAAAATTGGTTCAGCCATAAATATTGAAATAAAGAGATCTGGAACCAATCAGAATACGGCGCTCCGTTTGGCAACGACTATATAAAGGCCCATTCACAATGCAAACATAAGCATAGCGCAAAGACATAAACATTAACATAAGCGATAGACTGAAGTATTCACAATGCCTAACATAAACGTAAGCAAAATAAGTTGCTATTGGCAGTGAGACTTTTTGGTTGGATGTGAGAATCGATTTCAAGATATCGACTCTATGTCCCATATGGTGTTAGTTCTTCTATCGACTTCGCTCCAATTTCGATACTCGATTTTGAGTTACCTTTCTGTGATTGGTTTATTTCTTGTCTTCCGTAAGCATAAGCACAGAAGCTTGAAGCTTGCAAGCTTTTAAGTTAACGTCTTACATGTTATGCTTATGCGAATGCATTGTAAATGAGTGCGCTTATGGACGAAGTCCTAACTTTTATTTCAACGCCATGCTTATGTTTACGTTTGCATTGTGAATGGGCCTTTAAGACATCTAGCGACATCGATGTAGATGTTTTGTAAACATCGATGATTTTATAAAAACATCTATGTTTTAAAATCGATGTTTTTTAACATCGATGTTTTTATGTTTTCGATTTTTCTGTAAATGGAACAGTACAATAACCACAATTTTGTAAGAGATAAAGTATTGACATGTGAGCGGCGATTCAAGTGTTCGACCGGAACGGACCTTCATCGAGTAGAGCGGAGCATCTCTTGGCTGAGGGAGATCCCCTGATATGTCCTACGCCTGCCTTCGTATCACGCGGAGAGGCGTCAACGTGGGCGGCGCCATAGGCGTAGGTCCGTAGGCGTCCCCGTTCTTCCTGTTCCCTTTTCGGCGAACTGAGGATGCTCTCATTCCCTGAGATGTCTCTGAGCGCTCAGCCTATCAGACTCAGTTTCTCGCGAGGACGTAAAGTTAGTAGACATCAAAGCTATTCGTGCGCAAACTGTTTTTACAAACTCAATACAAAATATTGGGGCCTATAATAGTTATAAATAAACAAGTGTTAATTGCATTAGCGTCGGCAAAATAATATAGTAAGCCATATTTTTTTATATTACTCCTCTTATTATAGAAGTTTTGTTGAATATCAATATTTTTTTAAAATCAGATTAAAAACAACGATGGTTTTTTAACAATGTTTTTGAACATCGATGTTTTGTTATGTTGCATCCCTAAACACAACCAGGCTCTGGCCTAGAGGGAAAATATCTTTGGCACTATTGCTTCTGGAGCCAGCCTTTCGACATAATGAACTTTGGGATATACATTTATAAACAGTTTCCTTGCTGCTGATAAATATATAGTAACGCAAGTCACACTATTGGATAGAGAAGATAAAAATAAATGGTATAATTTCAGTTCATATTCACCATAAAACTGATTCTCTCGGCGTTATTTAATGTACCAGATAATTAGTTTACATACTAATTACAATTAAGAGAACTAAAATATTGAAACGGGACTGAACTGACTGTTTAGAATAAAAAGGAAAGGCTGAATCTTTAAAAAACAGTCATAGACAGAAATTGTTGCCATAAACAGCTCCAATTTTTTTTAAACTTTTGGTAAGGAAACTACTAAATGCACTATATAAGAAGACATGAACGCCATATTATTCTATTCTTATGTTTTTCAAAAATTACAAAAGTTTAATTTTTGACTTGTCTCTCACGTTGTTAGTATTTACATTAGTGGTCGTATTCACCACCAATAATGCCATATTCACAAAAATGGTTCCAAACTTTTGTAATTAAAAGAGGAAAAGAATGCAACAAAATAATCCTATGCCATCTTAAACAGTGCAATTGGCACTATCCGTTGAAAAAGTATTTTAATTATACAGCTATTTTTACATTCTAAAAAAAGCTATTTAACCCACAAATGAACAAGAAATACTCTCCGTGAAAACATGTTTATTTTGATCAATATGAAACAAAAATATATTTATTGTGGAAAATATTAAAGAATCTTTAGAATACATATGTTTTTGCATTCAGTGAGTAAATCGCACATCGCAAGTCGCAGGTTACAGTTCTGATTGCAGCAATTTTTAGTGCGTTTGTCACTCACCATTCTTCAGTTTAGGCCAATCGTCGCCTTTCACTCGAACATCTTCAAATTCTATGCCACCATAGGAAAGAAGGTAACGGATGGGCTCTGCGAGCGCCATAATATCGAAATATGTGACCTTATATTTCGGTGCCATCTTTGTCGAAGGTTACTAACTGACAACACAACGGTGTCGCTTCTATGTACTGCCATAATCCAAGATAGGACCTCTTCTTATATATAACCTACATGACTTTTCAAATTGTTATCTTGTGCAATTCTAGGCGTTCTAACATTTTCCTCAAACATTTACCCCCACTCTTGCAATATCATCGCCGACCGCCGAGGCAGCTTCCACTCCGCGAAGCACACAATTCAACAGTCAGAGTGACGCCGCATCTTTTCACTGGCGGGAGGCCTTACACAGTACTACCGCGATGTCCAGATTTTCGACGGTGAACCAAAACTGAGCTCTTTTCAGTTAATTCAATAATTAATCCAAATGTTTTCAAAGTGCTTTGAAAGAAACTACATTCAGTGCGAAAGCTAGGGGCCTAATGTGATGTGAATGTCAGTCGAGTGGAGGAAAAGGATAACAGAAGCAGGACTTACAAAACTAATAGCGTTACAACAGGACATAGTTTCTCTACCTTGGTAACGATTATTTGAGACCGGTAAATTTTTTTTGTTTCTATTCAAAAGTTAAAATCAAAATGATTTGCTGCCATTGAATTTAGACTTTTGTCTTCGCTTTCACAAAGTTACGAGAAAAACAATATAATTGCCAGTGATGTGATTTGAACTCCGCACTTACGTTTACGAAGCAACACACATTTCCCTCTGCTACCATGTCATGCACTGTTCGGCTGTGACAATTCTTAAAATTACGATGATTCTAATACCTAAGCCCAAAATTTGTAATGATATAAAAATAAAAGTAGGTCTAAGCGTCAAATTCTACACATATTTTAAGAGTTTTTTTTTACATGACATGATTGAAAGATATAATATTGAGGAATTGATTCCATTAAAAACTCAGTTGTCAATAATTCAGTTCAGAAACTTTCAAAATTAGAGAAATTTCAATGGAAATCGACCTATGCTATAATGATATATATATATATATATATATATATATATATATATATATATTGAGAGAGAGAGATGAGAGAATGAGGAGAAAAGAGAGAGAGAATATCGCAATCGGGAGGTCCCGGGTTCGATTCCCGGGCCGTACACCTTGACCAGCGGTTTTTCGTTCTTTCCGTCGGTTCACAAGGCGAATGCTGGGATAGTTCAGAAGGCCCCGAACCACATACCACCTAGACACCTATTCATCAGCCTAGTCCGTGTCACCCCTCATCATGTTATCCTCATCACCTTATAATAACATAATAAAGATAATAATAATAATATAATAATAATAATAATAATATAATTAATAATGAATAATAATAGAATAATAATAATAATAATAAATGATAATAATAATAATAATAATAATAATAATAATAATAATATCGAAAGCAGTTCTAACAGCGGCCCAGGCGCAGAGTATACTACATTATGACAAAGCGGTTCTCAAAATTTCCCAAGATGATAAATGTCGAATCTGCCAGGAACATGTAGAAACCATTGATCATATCGTCTCAGCTTATCCACTTCTAGCAAAGACCGAATACTTGAAAAGACACGACAGGGTGTGTAGTTACCTCTACTGGCAGATCTGTACCACCCTCGAAATTTCAAACACATGCTCCAAGTTGTACGAACACTCGCCAAATATGGTGACATTATTGGAATCTATACGATATAGTACGATCAACAAATTCAAACGAATCGCATGGTAGTAGCAAACCAACCGGATTTTGTTCTCCAGGATTTGGAGAAAAAGTCGTGTCAACTTGTAGATGTGGCAGGGTCTTGCGATCAAAACTTGATAAACAAGGAGGCAGAGAAAGATCTTAAATACACGAGTTTGGAAATCGAGATCAGCCGAATGTGGGGCGTAAAAGCACAGGTCGTACCGATAGTCATCGGAGCTCCTGAATTTGTTCCGCAAAATTTGTGTAAGAACCTGGCTAAACTCTCAGGTCTTTCAAAAGACTTTAGAAGTGCAAGAAATTGCTTTATTTGGAACAGCCCACATTTTTGTAAAGTATTGTAGAGACACCGACAGCCCCTAGATCTGCTCCTTAGGTAGCTGGTTGCAACATGGAGTAGATTTTGTACTAAGCTGACTCATAACATCTTTAGTCGTGATGTAGAGGAAAAATATTAATAATACACATTTCCTCGCGAATATGCCGACTCGGACCACGCGTGCATGCATCCCGCATTTACCTAGCCTCACTGCCATTATCTCGGTGGCAGGTGCATGGAGCTTTATCTGGGGAGATCAGCATTTAGCTGGATCCGATTTTTAACCCCTAGGGTTTTTTTACCCTGGGGATATGAAAGATAAAGCGATAATGATAATCAGGAATGAAAGAACAACACACACATACAAACACAAATGCACCCATGCCCGAGGCGGGACTCGATCTTGCGATCTTCTGGTGCGAGAGCGCTACGGCACTACTACCTTAACGATCTCGGTCATCTGATCGTCCCTATATGATTTTTTATCATAACTGTAACCTAAATGAACCTGCCCCGCCATAGGCATACCAATTTATAACGTAATTAAACCTTTCTAATTTATCAACTATCTTTAACTCAGCTTATTTTATGATTCTCCAAGCTGGGTAACCTTTTGTAACGTTTTATAATTTTTTAAATTTAATTTACCCTGCAATGCTCGTAATTTAATTGCTCTAATAATTCGTTAGTTCGCTAGCTCTGTTTTCCATTAAGATCTTGCACGAGTTCGACGTAGAGCATACGTCACCTTACCTCCTGCACGATCTTCTGTGGAATTTACTACCTACAGACTTGATGGCAATTCAATGAAATTTCAGCCTTTTCTTTTCAAACAACAAATAATATTTATTGTAACATTCTCGAGTTCGTTATTAATTCATGATTCTATGGCCTTTTAACATTATTCAACCGTACGGCTTTGATAAAGTTCGCACGTTTACGGAATATCTTCTCGGTTGCTATGATGCCGCCGTCTTCTCCAAAAGGGGATGTCCTGGGTCCCCCTGGAGTGTAATGTATCATACTAATATCCGTGTAAACTTTGAATGTTACCCGATTGTTGCTAATTATACAATCCGCTATTCGGAAAATCCCTACATCTGCTCTTATAATATCACGTCGCTTCTTTCCCTCACTAGGCTTCGGGTGAAACCTCTACTCTATTTCTGTCTCTATTTCTGACGAGGCTCAGGCCGCAAGGTCTGCTATTCCACCTAACCACTTAAATGTTTACATTTACATAATTACAATTGAGGCATTTTGGTACTTGCATACAATGGTATCTGACATTTCACGTTACTTACGAAAGTGCAATGATGGTTTTAGCTAACGGAGATGTGCTGCACATAAATAATGAAACCTAAAGTATGAATGTATTTTCATTCTCAATTTTCTGGTCTCTAAAGCTAAAATGGTGTAAAGAGAGCCCATGCTTCTTCTTTACAAGGAGGTAAGTCAATACTTTTACTATCGCAAAATGCCAGAAACCATTTCCTTACCGGAATGCCTCAATTGTGAACAAATTATAATTACAAAGGAGGACAGATTGTACATTTATGTCTGGGATGCAAGACTAGGGACTATCCCGGCATACGCCTTACGCGATTGAGTAAACCCCCAGGAAAATGTCAACCAGGATGGGGCTTAGGGCTGTAACACGAGTGACAATCACAATGAGAAGAAAATAGAAAGATTAAAGAAAAAGTGTACGGCAGAAAAGAAAGTAGAGGGCGACCCACACGAGATCCCATAAAGTTAGAGCGTAGGCTTCCGCGGAGTCAGTATTTACTACGCTGTCCGGGTGACGCCGCGACCATGGCGAAGGTGCCGACGTTTCGTCGCCATTCTGCGACCTTCTCTCTCCTTGGTATTACGCCCTGAGGAAGGTCGCAGAATGGCGACCGAAACGTCGGCACCTTCGGCATGAACGTGGCGTCACCCGGACAGCCAAGTAAATACATTCCAAAATGTTGATCTCGGCAGTTTGCCTTGCTGCTCAGAAACGGGAGGGATATAGAAATAATGAAGAAAAATCTGTAGGTTTTCTGTGATGGACCAGTAAATAATACAGTATTGATGACTTACTTCCAAGTAGCTAACGATTCCTTATAGTTTGTTAGATCCTTAGGCCTAAACTTCACACTCTGGGCACAAGCTAATTTACATTTATATTAAAACTAGAACAGATAGAAAGTAAAGCTAATTACACAGAGTAGTCACCACTAAAGTAAATAAAACCTAAACACAGGAATACACACTATACCATGTACCACTATTAGGGAAATTAGCAAATGTACACACGAATAGCGTGCGGAGAGGTCAGCGGAATGTAACTTTAAGGTTTCACAATAAGTAATAAAGATACGGAATAACTAACAATTATCAGAGCTAAGTTATTAGGAACTGAAATATCACTAAAATTTCACTTGTTAAGAAGCTGTAATTGATGAAACAAGACTTTTTACTACAGATCTTCCACACACGTGGCGTACACCGCCGCCATCTTGAAATTAGATTCAACCATGCATGATATCAGGTATCTATAATGCATAAAGCAGCGAGACACATTGGGATTATTTTGAATGTCTGAATTTACTTGCAAAAAAATCCTTAAATCCAAACTACCCCCTTTTACATTACGGGGGTGTTGACCCGACAGGGCGCATTCACTAGGTGCAATATTCCCGCGCGACATTGATGAATAGGGCTTTCACGTTTGTCTAATAACATTTTGCGGGTTACAATAAATGGTACAGCGGGACGCCAGTTGGACGCTTCTCACCTTGTTAATATTTAAATTAACGGCGAATTATTCATATTACTGTATTTACAAGTACATGATCTTAAAATGATATCTTATAAAGTTTTCGTGCAAACTCAAAACTTTTCTGTTAAAACGAACTCAAAATTCCGCAATTTCAGAAATGCTTGAACGCTATTTTCTCAAAAACGGTTCCAAATTTTCTTCAAACTTTTCTTATGGGTAGTGCACTGCTTAAGATGGCAAATTAATTTTGCTGTATTCTTTTGATTTTAAAAATTTCACAATGTATTTTTTTTAAACATCTCTTACAACTTTAATATGCACCTTTTCAGTCATTGTATGCATTACTGCATTTGTGTATGGAGAAACTTTAAACAACTTAAAATATAGTTTTTCGAAATTCATAAGATTTCTGTTTAAAATATCTTCAAATTTCATATTTACAGTAATGCTTGCAACCGAATTTTCTTAAAAATGGCTCCAAATTTTTCAACGAAAATTTCCTTATAAGCCTGGGTTTACTCTTTATAATATTTTTAAGGTAATACTTTGGTTCTACCATTTGGAAACCCCAAAATTAAGAACATTTTTTAAAAAATGGTACTTTTATCAGCATCAGATGGCAGCTGGCGAGAATATGAAGCAAGTCCAAAAGCTAGCCCAGACAAAAAATTAGAAAACTAATTAGGTCTAGAAATACTGCCATTCTGTAGCACCACTAGTTTGTGTTAATGACAAGGTGGCATTTGATGCAACCCTGAATAACAAGAGTTAATATTTGTTTTCTTCTTGAAGGCAAAAAATAAATAACAGGAGACATTGTTGAAGTTTTAAAGAAATTTATGTCAATTGTATCCATGTCATGGAATTAATAGCTCAAGAGCAAGAGGCAAGGTAAGAATTCCAAAAATAGTTTTTCATAAAACTAACCACATCCTCAGAATAAAATATTTGAAAAAGAAAAAATGTTCTTTCCAATTAGTCATTGTATTGACATTACATTCTAGTTTGTTCACATTGACATTGTACTTTTCTAGAAAAATCATACATATAAAAATTTAGAAATCATATGTAGTCACACATAACAGCAGAAAAATCACCTGAAAATGCAGAAAAAAATGTATTCAGACAGTAATGTCCATTTTTAACAAGTTAACATTCTGTTACTAAACAGCTGATAAAGGATACAGAAGTATCACAAAAAATAATTTAGAACCAAATGGTTTGAATATTGTAGTCTTGGTACTAAAAAAAAAAAATTAAATCTTATTCCTGTCCTCTCCACCGTGAACAATTCATAACCCATATTTTTGTGACATTACTTTTATATATTACGCTCTGCTTTACTAAAGCAATATGAATTTTTATGATTATTCTTGTACACCTTTTAAATCATCAAAAATCTTGCATGAAGGATTGTCCCTTTGAAAAATAACAACATACCAACATCTGAGATTTCTCAATGCATAATCTAATATTAAAGAAATAGTAAAAATTTATATTGAAACTTCGTAATGTGTATGTGTAAACATTAAGAGACAAGTGCTTATTCTAATGGCTTTTGCATACTTCACTTCATGACCGTCAAAACTGAACAATAGACCTGTGTTTAAGTTGATGAAGACTGAAATCTTTAAGTAGCACTATTCTTCTATTACACTGAGAGGTTTTAGCATTGCAAGAGTTTCAACCAAGGTTGTTGTGCCCAAACTAACAAACAAATTAAAAATATTAATACAGATTTCTACCATTTTTATTCACAGAATTGTATAATTTATGAACAATAAAATCATTTCTTCAACACAATGAGATATTTTTAGGGGGGAAAATATTCATTTCCACAACTTGAAAACTAAATCTTACAATAGTACAAGTTTTAAAAACAGATCTCTTCATTATTGTAGCAGCAGGGTATCTCGATCTTAAATGTCAGTCTTGGGTCTCTTCGCAATCCAGTCCTTTATGGCAGGCAATGCATACACTTTGTCTACCACACCCTGAAGACTAGGGTAAGAATCAAGGGGATTGCCTTCAAGAAAATGTGTAAATGTTTCATGAATTGCTGCAAGGTATAAGTCTGCCCAAGTCAACTGAAATGAAGAAAAAAAAAAAGGTCATGAACACAAAATTATTCTTTATGTGGAAATGAAGGCTTGGTTATAGTAATCTCTGCAAAAAATTAGAACAGAGTCTCTACACAACTAAAGAACAAGAATTAATAATATCTTTATACCTTGCCACCAACAAAGTAGCCTCCATTTTCTTTTGCAATGGATTCCAGTCGTGACAAGTAAGCTGGCAATGTTTCCTTCTCAAGCGTTTCCTTCTTCTTTGCCTTAGCAGCTTTATCCTCTTCAAAAGCATAATATACAATTTCTGAATGGGAAATAAATATTCATTAAAGCATAAAATGGTACTTTTATTTTCATTAACAAGATACATTCTAATATCATAATTCATGCAGTCAAGGTACATGCAACTCTGAAGGTAGATTATCAACAATCTTATTAAGAAAACTATACAAAGGTACACTATGCAATAGAACTAATAAATTTTCTCCAATTTTAAACATCAAAATTAGGGTGTGAAGGAGGGGTGCCAGGGATAGTCCCCTGCATCCACTGTACAGCAGACATGGCACATCCCAAGGGTGCCACTCACATGGGGCACTATGTAGATTAAACCCACTAAAACAAACAACAACCCAAATTTGAAGTATCTTGGAATGGGCTTAAATCGTAAGCTTGCCTGAATGCCTATGACTGCATACAGCTTAATTATGCACACATTTCACATACAGTTGCCAGTTAGGTCATAATATTATAGAAGGATTATAGGGCATAGTTGTAATTTAAGAGGTACTCAAAGAGTTTGGTCAAAATGTACAAAGAATGCATGAAATTAAAACATGAATGCTGAGAGAGAGCAAGATTCAAAACATTACATTTGTTCAATTTTTGAAAAATTAAAATGTTACATCAAAATGGTGCTTATATCTTATTATTCAGTGCATTTAGCCCTATCCATACAAAAACTTTAAGGAAAAACCTTGGGTCCACTTTCGAGAAAATTTGTGTTTAAAAGTGCACATATTCCACTATAAATTACATAACTAATAATATTTTCCAAAAATGAAAACCACAGTAATGAAATAACTGAAGGTGGTCAAATTACATTTGAAGAAAACAACTATTTTCAATGTTGTTGTAAGAAGGCAAAAAAAATTTGAACATTTGAGATTTACGAAATTTCAGAGAACTCAACAAAAATTAGACTTGTGCCAATTTTACAGAGGTGGCCAAATTATTATAGTAAATAGTTTTTCCTAGACTTATATGATTACAATGTCTTCAATAGCACCTGAAGAAAAACACTGGTTTGAAATTTAATGCCTTTTAATGATACTGGATATGTACACACCAGATATGGTATAATGAAGCATGACCCAATACCTACATATCAACAAGAACAAGTGATCCCCCTCAAACAAATCAATGGTTTGGTAAAAATCCAAGCATATTCATGCATAACTGCACTCCATGCTACAATAGGAAAGGAAGGAAAGAAAGTTGGAAAATATAAGAAGTTTACGAGACTTCTTCAATGGACTGCAAATAACAGTCATGGACTCAATAGAAAATGTTCGATTCAATATAGTAAAAGAAACCAAGAAAAAGAACACCATACAAACTAATTCTTAAAATAACACTCATATCAGGCAAAACACTCAAATTGAAAGAAAGGATTAAATATTGATTGTCAAGATTACTCACTACAAATATGTTAATTATAAGTATGAATAATGTTTATACAATATCAGAAACTTGTTCACACAGTTTATGGTCAAGATCTACTGTTACAAACAGATTGTCTCATTCAATAACTCTACCATAATATTTTGGCCAACGAAGTGTTTTTTGTCCTATCCAAAAAAATTAACAAAAGGGGGTAGCAGAATAAGGTAGGCAAAGGTTTCGAATTTATATTCTGTTCGAAAATGCTTTCGCAGAATTTTTAACTATATAGTTCTTATATAAACGTATGCCATGAAATAATTATATTAAAAATAATATCTCCATTTCATTTTGCCCTGGTATATTCGATTGGTTAATAGACAGGAATGAATATTGTAAAGATCGTGATTATTAATCATAACTTATACATAGTTTGTAAGTTTACTACACGAGCTTCAAGTACTTGTTTGCGGTAGCGGAAGTTACGTTCATTTTTATGTCAACCCTCCTTTCACATCAGTTCGAGCGAATGTCGTTATTATCTGAAGGCAATAAAATGACAGCAAGAAGGCCTTGTGGGAACGAAGCCTATTCCTTCCCCCGACTCCTTAGCAGACCTTGCTCGATCGAAGCCGAGTCCTCCTTGAACAATACTACTGCATCATTACCCAAAGTGACAAGAAATAAAATCAATTTAACGTCACAGGTATAGAGAGGTACTATTCCGTCTTAACACGGCTATACCTCGTTCGATGAATGAATTTTTGAATTTTAAACATTCACAAAACAATTGGCGTTTAATGAAGTCTCTGAATACCCACTCCGAGCTAAATATAGCTTTTGAATTGTGATTCGTTTACATTGATAAGGGAAAACATTGCATGTGTTTTTTCTCGAATCTTATTCGATAACTTACGAAGGCGAACATCTGTAATTGTGTCGACCACACTGTCGATTTCTAGGGCTTCCCAATCGTTGGCTCCAGCTAATCCAACCTGTTTGGCAAGGTATCTGCAAATTGCGGAAGACTGAACCACAATTTTGCCATCAACTTCCAAGATGGGCAATTTACCGGCAGGATAGGCTGTGGAAAAAAAGGTGAATTACTATTGCATCATTTAAAGGTTGGATTCGAAAACTAAACATTTTCAAATAACAGTTTTAGGGACTTCAATCTAAAACAATTTGACACGAACCCTGCTTTGATTTCTTGAAAACACAAACTTGTGACTCCCCCTCCCGCATTTAGAACAAACAAAAATTGTATTGTATCACACAAAAACCAATGTATTAATTTTATAATTTAAAATTGTTGTGAACTTCAATGTCATCTTCATGGTCATGACGCCATGACCAAACAAAATTATAACAATTATGCATTTTCAAGGTTTTAAAGAATCTAAAATTAATAGAAGTATGCAAATATGTTTCTACTAGATATTGTAGTGGTAATAGTAAAAAACTGCAGAAGCCATGGGAACGAGAAGCACGCAAATGATTAGCCAATATTTGTGCCAACCAATTGAGCTCGCCCGCTCACGGTGTCTCCATCCGGTCGCTTCGCGCCACGCGCCATTTGCTTTTGCACGGCCATAACCGTTCCAGTCACCCATATCGCCGTATTTGTAGTTTCTCGACAATTCCCGGCAGGATCGCCCTGAGAAAACGATCACTGCCAGGGGCAGGAGATCCCGATCACTGGCGGATCCAGGGGGCCCATGGGGGCCATGCCCCTCCCTCCGAAAGGTCTAGAATTTTCTTTTACCTTCCTCTATTTGGCAAAATAGATTTAAATATTTATGCTCGAATTATGTTATTATTTAAACAATATTGTACAGTATCGTATCTACAGAACATAAATAATATACAATTAAATAACAAATATTTATTATTTAACAAAAGTCTTCTATGCACCCTCCCACAAAGGAGGGACTGGATCTGCCCCTGTCCCAGAGCTCCCCCCTCCCCCCCCCCATGTCGATTCAAACCGCCCCTAAAGTACTTCAAGGGATTTAATTTATATATGCAAAAGAAAAAGTTATAGCAGTTAATTTAAATTAATGTAAATGTATTTCTCATTGTTTGAATGAAAATCGGGGCCGCAATGAAGTCGGGTCCTGGGGTAAATTGCCCCAACTACCCGCCCCCCTTTCTGCGCACCGCAGTTTCCTGGCTATGCTTGGTGAAAGGCGCCATGAGGGCGTAGTATAAAGTTGAGTAAATCTGTGCATTAGAAATAAGAATATTAAGTCGCATATACAATTTCAATCGTGTATGATAGTCAAATATGTATGCGGGTGCACTAGTCTTCTCGAGTTCAAGAATCCCCACTCTTACTACACATGAGTAGGGGCGGATTTGGATGACATACAACATCGCCATAAATGATCAATAAAATGCTCTCAAAATGTTAGTAAAATACCTTAAAAGAAAAGAAAAATGACGTATAGTTTATAAAATCAAAACCACTTCAGATGGACAACTCTAGCTGTTCGATATTAGATGTAATTGATGTCTCTTCCTTTCGTTCAAGTGATTTCAGTTTGCAAACCTTTGGTTTTGGATTATTCTTTATTCACGAAATCTGTCTTTAGTTACCCTGAAATCTGCCAAACAAAGGCGCTGATAGGAGATAGAAACCTTAGATTACATACTCAACACCTGACATTACAATTTCTGTGCGAAGACATCTAATAGGAATCTCGAATAGGCTACTCGGAAATTCTGTGGAGAACATGTGTTGCGTCTCCTAAATATTATTTGAAGCAAGTGCCATTTAAATTATATTAAAACTGAAATCAGCGAAAATACTATAAAATGATGGAAGAAATGTAAAAAAAAATTATTTTTAGTCGAAATAGACGTAAATGCATAAAAGTCAAATAAAGTGGGTAATTTCCTTTCATCATAACTAGAGACCGAAAAAAAATGTAGTGAATCAAAATATATACATAAATATCCAATGAAAACTGTAAGAATATGTAAAAATATGTAAAATCTAATATAATATGTAATAATAAAATGCCTCATTGTAAAACCTTTACAAATACGAATTTACATTTCAAAAAGTTCCTAAACAAATTTTAAGAATAATGCAGTCCTTTTAAAAATTTAGAGAACATAAATTGATACATAATTTGAACCATACAACTTTCCTGTCAGTTGTAAATGCTATTCAGAACAGTTTAGCAGCGAGACTAGACGCAATAGAAGTCATTCTATACAATGTTTACAAACTGGCGATATCTACGACGAGCAAACAATCACAAGAGCGTGCAGCATTTGAAGTGTTAAGTTTCGGCGATCCCCAAAGTTTCTCGGAAATTAAGGCTAAACTTATTAAACGAGTTAAAAAATAATGCAGGAATAACTTGTATCATCGACCAAGTTAGTCAATGTATTTAATGGCTTCGCCCCCCCCCCCAAGTTAACGCTATTCCCAAATCCTTATGCGTCATCAATAAATTAAGTAACGCTTCAAAGGGGGGAGGCGGGGGGGGTTGAGGCAGCCTTACGCTGCGTTACTTGGGGGTAGGGACGTGTTAGTATAAGTTACATATCATTGACTTGTTTTTAATTTTTGAAAACAAATTTTTCCTGTCTTATAACAAAACAGTAAAATATGAATTACTTTTTTTTAAAACCCATAATTTAAAGTTGTGTAATTTGTAGCAATAAATGGAAGTATATTTTCTTAATTTTTCACAGAATCTGTAAGATTACGAAGACAATATCCAAAATTTTTCTTCGTATATTCTAGAATCTGATTAAATTGATGCAGTAGATGGTCGCTTACGCGTCGTCAATGACGTAAGAAATTTCCATGTCTACAGTAGAATTATTTTAGCGTGGCCACTGAAGATCGCGGGCCAGAGCTGCCGGAAGAGTCTATTCCTCAGACCTATCGCTTTAGGGGGGAGCGCGTCCCTTCGCAGCAAGTGTTGACAGCCCTTCTCCAGCCGCGTAAAAAATTGACCCTGACTTTTCGTATTCGGGAGGTGAAAGCTGGTAGTTGCGTTTCCTACTAGAGTGAAGCGAGTTTGTACGTGATTCATAAAGTTCTGTTTAAGTGATTATTTCAAAGCGTCCGGTTCAGAGCATGTTGCAAAAGGACGTCCGTCACAATCAGATGCGTGAAGTCGTTGCAAAAGTATATCAATTTATGAAGAGAGAAGAAAAAAAAAAGCGTTAAAAATGTCTAAGCAGTTCTTGGCTTCTGCTAAGGGTATTTCGAAAAGATGTGTTTGCAGAATTAATAATAAAATTAATTTATTGAAACGAGAAAATCGTGTTCATTTTCAATTCCCAATAAAGAGAGGAAAAAGAAGTGGAATCTGCTCTCCATGGTTTCAATGAGAGAGTGATTCGCCGCACTATGACTTAATCACGAAATCGTTGTTTATACCAGAAACTGCGAAAACTATAGTAATGAGAGTGATGAAAGTTATCGTGATCAGACCGAGTATCAGTGTCGGTGGAAAAGATCTAAATGATGAGAGCAGTCAGGCCGTCAGGTGAATTGGGTGTTTCTCTACTACCGAACGAAGACACTAAAGCAAATTAATTTCTAAGCACGTGCAGTTAGTAGACTAATGTTTTCGGTATAAGCAGACGCCAGCGATCGCCGCCTCCTGGCCCCTCCCCACCACTTTTACCCCACTCCCCACCCCTACCCGCGAATCCCAGCGGACACCCTAGAAAAAAATAGCTGTGTCCTTCCTTCACATAGCACTTTTTCCCCAATGCTATTGATACATGTAGTCAGCATCGCCAATTCATTTTGACTACTCATAAATTTTAAAATAGAACTCATAAAATTAATACAATTTGTTTTTGTGTGATAAAATCTATTTTTTATTTCTTCTAAATGCTTCTCAAGCGTTACGTAATTATTTAGGGGGTTTCGAGCTCGCGTCACGGGGGCGCTACTGTAGGGGACGGGTTTTCAAAATGCTACAAATTTTTGTTTCGTAATTTATGGACGACCCCTTAGCACATATGGACCAGTCATCACGTATAGTATCTTATCTCGTCCTCTTCCCCTCCCGTCTATAATATTACCCAGTCCATTCGTGTCACTGTCCCTATTGGAGAATCATGCCTAACCGCCATTTACGGAAATACTATTAAAACAGAGTGTCATAATTTAACTATCACAGGCAATTGTAGCTCAAGAATTTTTTTGTAGCAGTACTAATATTCTGCACGTCATAGAGAAAAAAGTATAATGCAGTCTGAAAAAAGTTTGGACAGAATACAAAAAAAAATGCTTCGAAGGAGTGGTGACGATTACAAAAGTGCTTAATAAAACTCGTTTCACTGCCAAGGTAAAATACCAGCAACGTGCATAAAAGTAACTTAAGAGCAGTATTTTTATCTCCTATGTATCCGTATGCCAGTACTCGATAAAATGACAAGTATGAAATAAAATATACGGTTTTAATTACCAAGTACACATACATGTACGCACGATAGATTGCAACTATTTTTTCTGATACGCGACGTAAAATTAAGACTGTCTAAAGGCAAGGAGTCGAAGAGTCTTCTGACAATCCTCTTTAACAAAGAGAAAGAATTAACGCTTTTGTTTTTAATGAATGCGAACACTTTATAGTACGATTTTATTGCTGTGAGTTGACGAATCGTAAAATACTTGCAAGTTCCCAATTTATTTAATAATGTATGATGGTAAACTAGCTGGATTGGGCTTCATAGGTGGCCTTGGCCAACGACCTGCCATGATAATCGAAAGCGGCATCTGTCTTCGTTCCTCTTTCAAGGCCACGTTAAGCTAACACAGGACACCAAAATGGAACTCTTAGAAAACAAATTGTACAATCCTCGATTTTTCTCAGACGGATTTAAACAAACTTGAAGTTCTAATCAACAGCAATGCAACAACTAGAAAAATGTTCCGACATCTCAAAGACAATTTGTCAAAGGTAACAACGCGCCTCCGACATCGCAAGCCCCTCACACACGGCGAAATCAGGTGGAGACAATCAATGCTATTCACTCTTCTATACGACATTCATCGCAATAGTTTGCCGCAAATTCTAGAAAGAGGTATGTTGAGCATCTGATTTATATATTGTAAAGTAATTAAGTATTGAAATTTGAACGGCAATACCTACTTAAGCCTTGGGGATAAATCAAACTACATTACTTATAACTGCAGCACGGTATCAAGTCATTCCTGAAAAATATCCTACTGCCACAAAACAGTTATAATAGTAACTTTTTTTCTGTTGAAAGCAGATGCTTCCCCATTATACTCACATGATTTCACTTTGGGCCAATTTTCACGCTCGATGCGGATATCTTCATATTCAATATTCCCATAAGCAAACAGAAAGCGAATAGGCTCTGCCAAAGCGCGAATGTTGAAGTAAGTTAACTTGTACTTAGGAGCCATTTTAACACACAAATGCTAGGAACAAGAAACGAATGAGCCGAAGCAGTGAATCGCTTGACAGCACCTTTGCAGTGAGCTAGCTCTGACAAACAACTGACTGACCGGCCGGCCGGCCGGCAGCGTGGCGGCACCGGCGGACGCCGAGATGAGCGAGACGCTTTACCCCCACTCCTTCCGTGGACTCGGCGGCTTGCTTTCCTGTGGGCGCGGGCGGGTGCCAGATGACCTTGAACACAAGCACTGGCCTCTCCGTTGTTGTTCCATTACGCTCCGTGCTGTGGAATTTCACCGTCATTTCTCTGCAGTTTAAGAAATACATTGCTTGACTTTTGACTGAGTTACCATGTAGTGAAGATACAAACAAATTAATAACATCGCTTGCCGGAAGTCCCGTGTGAATCTTACTTTTACCGTACTACTACCATTTGTTTAGCATTTTTGAAAATTTTGAAATTTGAAGTAAATGTTCACGGATTAAACCTTTTTTTAATCTTCTTTTATTGTTTC